CGGCCACTGGGGCCTCCGGTGGGACTCCTGTTGGTGGCACGAAACGTGTGCGGGGCGTGCCGGAATGGGCATGCGGTGGGTGGGAAAGACGCATGCGGACGCGGCCACTGGGGCCTTCGGTGGAGCTCCCTATGGGTCCACGAAATGTGTGAGGGGCTTGCCGAAATGGGTGTCGATAGTGGTGGCGATCACGGCGATGGTGATGGCGATAAGTGATGATGACGAGGATGGCGATGACAACAACGACTACGATGTCAATGAGGATGATGATGACGACGATGATGACGATGATGATGATGATGATGAGAGGAAGAGAAGGAGGGATGAGGCAGCGGGAGGACGAGAAGGAGGAGGACAAGTGAACGCGGTGCGCTGTCTCTCCAAAACGAGGACCCAACACCACAGGAAGGTTGGGCAGAAAACATTGAGCTTACCCCCAAACTTCTCAACTGAAACGTGCCGCCTTCCATTGATCAAAATGCAAGTCAAACTCTGGCACCACCGCCCGCCATGTGCAACGCGGAAGGACTACGCATTGTTCCTGGTGAGCCACTGCTTTGTTGCGGGCGCGCCTCGCGCTTCGCTCACAGCCAAGGCGCGCGTGATGGCATCGGCGCGCGCGCGCGAATCTCCAGCGCGCGCCACTACCGCCGCGCACCATGCGAGCATTCGCGCGGGCGCGCGCAAAGGCATCAACGTGCGCGGGGAATCCCAGCGCGGGCGCGAGCCTTCCTGTCGCGCGGAGCGCACCGCGTGACCAATTTGCCCCGTGGTCAACATGTCAAATTCATTTACACGCCTTCCAATTCCAAACGTATTTTGTCGTTCGGATGTTGTCGCGGCTCTGCGCCGCCAGCGGACAAGATGGCCCCAAGAGCGCTCCCAAAGCTCCCGAGAGCGCCTGAAGAGGGCCACCAGTTCCTTCTCAGAAGACTCTCCTGCACCCTCATCCCTGCGTGTCGCAAACTGGGCCATCCCCCATAAGGTGCGCGATTGAACGTGGAATGCGGCACGCCGATACCTACTGAAGTCCAGCGAGACATGAAGCCCCTGGGCAGGATCCTGAGCGAATCCACACCTACAGGTGTGTGGACTTAAGGACCGCATCCCAGAAATAATCTTGAGCACCCAGCAAAACATCGACACAATGTCGAACAGGTCTCGCCTCCCGAGGCCCGACACGTGAAGACCCTCCAATGTAAATGTTTTCCTGGTGCTCGAAATTCTTTCTGGTGACCAGGGCTAAGTAGGTTGGAACATCATACGCCAACAAGCTGAGTCCGTGAGACCGACGAATGTCGCATTTTGTGTGTCGGTTTCTGTGTCGGGAGCCTTGCTGGCAGAAAGGCTCTGGTACAACGGAAAAGAGACACCTCCTGCGGCATCCGCAAAACACTGCAACACCTCTCGCTGTCCACTTCAAGATGTGGGCACTGCCGTCTAGACTATCTGGCACTGCTGGAGACAGCAGCTTCAGCTCACAAGGGCCATGGGCATCCCAATGCTCAAAGAACCAATCGCTAACAGATGGTGAAGATCTGCTGTCACCTTGGCCATCCGCCACCGTTCCTGCACCGCGTGGGCGTGTTAGAATGCTCGTCTGTTGTCTGGAAGGTTTTGTAGAGTTTTGAGGGACCCCCCTCGACGCACGCGCCCCGCAAACACCGCCCCTTCTGAAATTGCGGCGACTGGCGGGCCGTTCGGTCTCCAGACGGCCAAGGTGGCCCCCAAGACAGCTTCCGAGACAACTGTGACGACAACAGAACGGCCCAAGATGGCCCAAGACAGCTCAAGAGCCTCTCAAAAGAGAGTGGCACGACGGCTCAGGATTGCCCAAGAGGCCCACGACGGCCCAAGGGGCCCCCAAGACAGCCCGAGAGAATCCAAGGGGCCTTCCTGGAGAGCCCGAGGATGTCAAAACAAGTGACCTCCTCCTCCTCATCCTCATCCTCCTTCTCCTCACCATCAGCATCATCATCATCATCAGCATCATCATCATCAGCATGAGCATCACCATCAGTATCATCATCCTCACCCTCATCATCATCCTCATTATCATCATTATCATTATCATCATCATCATCATCATCATCATCATCATCATCATCATCATCATCATCATCATGATCAGCATCATCATCATCCTCATCCTCCTCATCCTCCTCATCCTCCTCATCCTCATCATCAGCATCATCAGCATCATCATCCTCATCCTCAGCCTCAGCCTCAGCCTCATCCTCTTCCTGCTCACCGTCCCTGCCGCGCGGACGAAGACGAACTCGGGATCACGACCAGCCTGCATGCAGACTACTCGTCGGAATTGCGCTATTACTACAATTAGCCTCCCTCCTGCTAAACTGTTGCACAAACACGGTGGCGGGGTTCGTCGCCGGCAGCTTGGAATTCCGGAAAACAAGGTGTGCCGCCAAAGTTGGGATGCCGTTTAGATGTCTGCTTCTGCTGTCCCCGCGCGACGAGCCACTGCTTCTGGTTAGTACTGGTCGAAGACCGATGAACAAGTCACCCTCATCTCCGCAAAACTGACAGAGGCCATCGCCGTCGCATCCCCATGACTGTAAATATGTTTCAGTGGCTGTGGTGCCGCAGAGCTGATGTATGGCGTGTTGCTGCTCAACTTGAAAATTTGATGGTCGGCCGGACCACACGCCACCAGAGCCCGTCCGTACGGATAGCATGATCCTCGGGCACGTCTCAAAATGACGAATGTCCAAGTCAATCAGCTGCGCCGAGAAAGCTTGCTTACAGTTCTGGGCAGCATCTTCATCCAAATGTGTTCCAAGCCAAAACTTGTGCTTGAACACAGTTGGCAAGACTGCCTGCCAGTCTGCCTTGGGCAGCCACTGCAGCGTCTGAGTGGAAGGGCTGGCGTTTACTCTCCTGGCGACTGGCTTGCGCCACTTGCACGTCTCAGCCGAGGCACCGTGAAGTAATCCTCGTGCCTACGTGCATCTGGTCTTACTGACGCTAGCCGTTGTTCCTCGCAGTACCGTTTGATGGTGTGGCAAACCATACTGATGTGATACACATCGGTATGTTCCACACGCGCTCAGCAGAGAGTCGAATGCGCCCCTTCAAACCTGCTCGGTACAAAGTAGGTTCATGGATGGCGCACTTTGGTGGTCTCCCATGTGGTGCCGTATTGATCGGATGAGTTCTGTAGCTGTTGGGTTCTAGTAATCATATCATATGACCAACCAATCCTGTCCTTTTTCTGTGGTATTCCGTGATTGCGGTGAAATATATGTCCAATGTCTCGACAACCCAATGTCTCTCGCCCGCATACGTGCTTACCAGCATGGCCCTGGCCTTCTGGACAAGCTGGGAAGAACTTCAGACAATACACCACGTACCCAAGGCCATCGTACGTTGCGTACGTCTGAGACCCAATATGTAAGCTGCTCTCCAGTTTAATGCGGCGATGCACACATGTGCATGTGTGTCGTCGTGAGTGTGTTATTTGCTACAAATATACGCAACAGACATTGACATCATTCAGAGTGCGCTTCCTGCAAATGTTGACTTTGTGTCGAACTGGGTGGCACATGCTGTGATGATATCGTCGAGGTGACTCGTGTGTGAGACACATCCATCAACCATGAGGCGCCAGGGCCAGTGGTAATAATGTCAAAGATGCTCCATGATCTACACCTCACAACGTACTACCGCACAATGCTATCCGGGGAAGGCGCGGCAGCCCGCACCCGTAAAACGACCCAAAACCCAGAAGCGAAACTACCCGGTCACCCTGGCCTGGCACACACACACACACATTCTCTCTCTCTCTCTCTCTCTCTTTCTCTCGCTCTCTCGCCACGGCGCCTCTGGCACCACGAGGAGTGCCCCAAGACTCACAGCTGCTCTGGTGCTGCAGCCAAGATTGTAAGTTCATAAAGGCTCGGAGCTCGGAAAGTCGAGGCCGTCCTTGGGTTTCCTGGGATCTCTCCCGTGCATTCTGGGGTGTTTCCTGCCGGTCCTCTGGACGCTATGCCTCCGATGTGTCCAAGATGGCTCCGATTCCTCGAAAGATCGCCCCACGACGCCCGAAATGGCCTCAAGACTGACCACGAGGTCTCCAAGACGGCTCAGGAGGCAACAAATCATTGATGTCCCTCGGCTGTTTGAAGGACTGCCGCGTTTAAGCCTTTCCGGCTTCCCAAAGCTCCAAGACGGCCCAAAAGGCCCCCAAGATCGCCGCAAGACGGCCCAGTAGGCCAACAAGAGGGTGTCGAGATTGCCCAAGAGGCCTCCAAGACGGTCGAAGAGGCCTCGAAAACGGCTCAAGAGGGCTCCGAAAACGCCCCAAGAGGGATCCCACAAAGGGCACACGAACCGACATTCGAGCGCTCCGCCCCACACGGCCCCTAGGAGACCCACAAGGCCCCCACAAGGCCCCAAAGAGGCCCCCAAGAGGCCCCCAAGGGCCCCCAGGAGGCCCCCAAGGAGCCCCCCAAGAGGCTCCCAAGAGGGCTCCGCCCCCCAGAGGTCACCGAGAGCCCTCCTCAGAGACCACAAGAAGCGTCTATGATGACTCCGACCCACAGCCCAGGCAGTCGCAGGATGGGCCGAATGCTCCACACACACACACACACACATTCACACACACACACAACACACACAAAACACACACACACACACACACAGTTTGACACATCTATAAATATATACATATACACATGTATGCGCGCATGTGCAATAACTCCTCGTCACCCTCCCTGTCCCCGCCTCCTGGTCCAGCTGCTCATCCCCCTCCTCCACCTCCTCCTCCTCCTCCTCCTCCTCCTACTCCTACTCCTCCTTTTCGTCCTCCTCATTCTCCTCCCCCTCCTCAAACTGTCTCTCCCCTCTCGTATCTCTCCTCATATCGTCCTTCCCCCCCTCCCGCCTCCACCCCGCCCGCCCCCATCCCCCTTCCTCATCCTCCCCCTCCCCCTCCAGACAGAGAGCGGAAGCCAGCGGCTCGGGGCTCGGGGGTGGGTCACCCCGCAGGATCTCCCGCCCACGCAGCCCCAGCTGGTGCCTCGGCCGAAGGGGGGAGGGCGAGAAGGATGAGGAGGGAGTACGGCGAGCGAAGAGGATCGAGGATCAAAGCGCACATAACAACTACTGCGGCCCTCTGCGGGAGGCATGTGGGGACCTCCAGAGGGGGAAAGAGACGGGGTGGGGAATGGGCGGGGCGAAGACCGCGGAGGGGGCGGAAGGAAGATGCGGAAGAGGAACAGTGGCAGGCAGGCAGGATGAGAGAGAGAGAGAGAAATAGAAAACATAATGAAAAGCTGCAGCACCCCAAGAGAACCCCAAGTCGGTGCATAGAGGCCCTCAATACAGTTTCCGACGGCGTCAGACGGGCCAGGAACGCCCTGCCCCACGAAGCCCCCAAAGGCCCCCGGGAGGCCTCCAAGAGACCCCAGGGAGCTCCCAGGAGGCCCAAAGAATGACCCAGGAAGCTCCCGAGAGGTCTGCTCATTTTTCTCCTCATCCTCCTTTTTCCTCCTTGTCCCTCCTGTTCCTCATCCTCCGTTTCCTCCCCCACGTGTTCCACGAAGGGCTTCCACTGCGGCTGGGGGAACGCATGGTCCAATAGCGCGGCCACGCTGTGCCGAAAAAGTCTGGCCTCATAGGAGCATCCTACATACATTCGTGCATCGCGTGTGCATATGAATATGTGAATCTTCCGGGGCGGCCCGCGTCGGCCCGCGGACCCCCCGCGTCTTGCCGCGTCCTGTCGCGCGACTCCGTCGGACCCCAAGAGGGCCCCAAGACGGGCCGACAGGGCCCCAAGAAGCCCCCAGAGCGGTCTAAGGAGGCCCCGAGTCGCCGAACGATCGCTCCCAGACGCTCAAGATGGCCCCCAGACGGCCCAAGAGGCCTCCAAGACTCGCACAGGAGACTCCAAGAAGCCCCCTGGGAGGGCTCCCAGAGGCCAGAATCATTGTTTGTATTTTGGTTGTTGAAGGATGGTGGCGTTCTCGACTTTTCAGTTTCCCGACGTACCCAGATGACCTCAGAGGCCCCCAAGACCGCCCCAAAACGGCCCAGTGGGCCTCCAAGAGGACCCCCAAGCAGACCAAGAGGGCCCAAATACAGCCCAAGAGGCGCCCCAAACGGCCCAAGACTGCCCCGAGACGGCCCTTAAGGGAACCCCTAAACAAGGAACACATACTGAACATCCAAGCCTTCCGCCCCGAGAGGCCCCCAGGAGACCCCGAGAGGCGCCCAGGAGGCCCCAAGGGGCCCCCAACAGGCCCCACGCAGCCCCAAGCGGCCTACAAAGAGGCCCCACAGAGGCCCCAACGGCATCCGAACGGCCGCGAAGGGACGCCCAAACGGCCTCCAAAAGGCCCCCGAGAAGCCTCCCACGATATCCGAACGATTATGCGATAGGCGTCATCCCCACAGCCCACGCACGGTGGCGGGATGGAACCAGACCAGATTGGAAATCAAATTACGTACAAATACATGTTGGTGCTCCGATACGTATGAAATTGAAAATTGAAGTGCACCCAACGCGCATCAAAACATGATGTCAGCCCAGAACCTCATGTTCACCAAAAGAATTGGTTGCACCTGCAAATACAAGTAGAGAGGGGGAAGATACATAATGAGAGAGAATGATATAGAAAGAGAGAAAAGGAGAGAGAGAGAGAGAGAAAAAAAAAAAAAAAGAGAGAGGAATACAGAGAGAGAGAGAGAGAGAGAAAAAAAAAAAAAGACGAAACCGGGAAGACACAAGAGGGGCAACCGAGAAGGACGGCTACGACGGCGCTGGCAACGACGACCGTCGCAACGACGACGGCGGGGCGAGGAGGGGGGAACGAGGACGACGGACGGAAGGGGACAAGGGAGGGAGAGGAGAGGAGAAGGGGGGAAAGGAGAAGACGTTGGGATCACTTTGGATCGCGTGAGGAAAAAGAAAAAGAGATGGGAGGGAGGGCTAGGAGGAGGGAAAGGAGAAATAAACAAAGCATCTCCACAGCACGGGAAACATACAATACATAATGTGCACCCGCGTTGGATCCCCACGTCGCGCACCATTTGGTCCAGGACCGAGTGCGCCCACTTTCTCGGTGGTCCTGTCCGTCTCCCGCGTTTGGGCGTGTGGCGGGCTATCCCCATCAGGACCTGCCACAACCAACCACGCGGGGCAGGCCGACGGCGTCACGCACGACACCTCCGCTTCCGAGTGTGAAACATCACTGTGCTACACCCAGAACGCCAGAATATGCCAAGCGGGCTCAGCGTGATGAGTACAGACAGCTGAACTGCTTGCGTCAACCTAGAGCTTGCTCTTTTGGCTTTCAGAGAAGAGGGGGAACAACAGCCCCCTCTTTCGTGACATCCCGGCCCTCCGGCGGATGCATTGGTGGCCATCCGCTGGGTGCCCCCTTTTTCCTTGAACGGATGCCAGCTACGGTCCAGGGGCGTGGGCCACCTGACCCTGGTGTTAGGCGCTCGTGGGACACCTCGCTCGAGAGGACCATCCTGGCCTCCACGGCCGTCGGGGCCAAGTGACTCGTACTCGGACACGGCAGCAAAATTAGAACGCACCTTCGAACCCCCTCATTTTGAAGCGACCATTGCTCCTTGTATGACTGCTGGGGCCAACAGCCAGAGAGGGCTGTTCGCAAAACGACAGCGTCGCGTGGACGCTGAGCCCCCGCGACGAAGCCGAGCTTTGGCGAGGCTTCTGGCTGACAGCCAGAAGTTTGCCAAACATCTCCACAACACTGGAAGATACAATACATAATGCGCACCCGCGTTGAAGTCCTTGTCGCGCATCTTTTGGTTTATGACTGGGTATGCCCAAGCGTGCGGCTGGCTTCCCCTCATCAGGTCCTGCCACAACCAACCTCACGGGGCACGCCGACGCTGTCACGAAGGACACCTCCGTCACAGGCTGTGTGAACCATCACTGTGTGCAACACTCGGCTACACACAAGAATGACCCTGGGTACGAGTGTCCTTTGGTGCGCGGCTTTTTGGGGGGCGCGGGGAGACCAAACCTGGGCGCAAAAGCCGCTGCTACCGCTTCGTTTGCAGCCATCTGGGGGCCGGGGGCCCATCTGTGCCCGCAACATAGGTCACTCTGGCGAAGGGTCACTCTTACGTCTAGTCGAAACACGCAGATCGCCAGAATATGTACACCGGGACCAATGCGATGAGCACAAGCAGTTGAACTTACCTGCGTCGTCCTGCAGCCTGGACTGCTGGCCTTCAGAGAACGGAGGGATCAACCCCAAGGAAAGGGTGTTTAGGTGGAGGGATAGGGGGGATGAGGTAAGAAGGGGCGAAGGACGGGCCGAGGCAGGAAAAGAGCCGACAAACAAGAGAGGTGAGGAAGGCGTGATGAGCGGAGGAAGGGGAACAGGGATGCGTGAGTGAGAAGAAGAGAACGAACAGCTGCCTCCATCTTGCTCCCCCTCCCCATCCTCCGGCCTCTAGACAAGCGCGTTCCACCACCCGCGAAGTAACTACTCGCAAATGACCTGGATCCGTCGCGTGGGAGTTACGATCCACTACAGAAAAGAAGACAGGTGCTTTCTGACGTTTGCGAGTAGGCATTTTGGGAGTAGCGGAACGCACTCGGTGACCCTCCTTCCCCCTCCCAACTCCCCCATTATCCCGCCACCCGTCTCGTCTGCTTCTCTCTTGCTCACCCACTCTCTTTCCACCTCTCGCCTTCGTTCCACTCCCCCTCGGGTTGGACGAGGGTGGGAGGGTGGGGGAGGGAGGGAGGACGGAGAGAGGAGGAGGAGGACGAGAAAGGACAAGGACGAGGAAGAGGGGAAGGGATAAGAGGATAAGGGAGGAAGGACGACGAGGGAGGATAGAGGGCCGAGAGAGGGAGAGGAGGGGGACGAGGGCGAGGAAAATGAGAGCATTCGCACCTCCCGCTCCGCTGGGTCCGCGCCAAAGCGGTGCTGGCTGGGGGGCGGAGAGCGTCCGTGCGCCCCGCAAGTGTTTCCGCGGGATCTCTGCGGCAAGACGCGACGGCGCTCCTCTCGCCCACGCCGCGAGAGCTAAACCTGGAAGCAGGAGCACTTGCATAACCGTAAAAGCTGGTGGTGGAGTTTCGCGCTGCTTTCGTGGATCGGACATTGTGTGTGTACGTCTTTGCCTCTCCCTATTCGAAACAAAAGTCCGAACTCGACGGCAGCAGAAACGGGCAAAACTCTTCGCAGGCTGATCAGGTCTGGGGAAGGAGGACGAATGGGGAGATGAGGCGGAGGAGAAGGAGGAGGAGGAAGGGGAGGAAGAGAAGACGAGGAGGCGGAGGAGGAGGAGGAAGGGAAGGAAGAGAAAGAGAATGAGGAGGTCGAAGATGAAAAGAGAGCCTAGGTGTGGGCCGATGACGAGCACGGTGCCGCCGGCGACGCCGCTGCTGCCCCCCTCGAGCACCGTCCAGCAGACCTCGTAGCCTCGGCAAGCGGCAAAGCGCTCGTGCTGCTGATGCTCCTGCTCCTGCTCCTGCTCCTGCTCCTGCTCCTGCTCCTGCTCCTGCTCCTGCTCCTGCTCCTGCTCCTGCTCCTGCTCCTGCTCCTGCTCCGCCAACTCCAACTCCCCCTCTTTCGAGACTCCTCTTTCTTCTCCTCCTCCATTCCTATTCCTTGTAAACAACTCTTTCCTGTCGCACCCTTGGGCCGGTCGGAAAGGCGGGCCGGACGTTTTGCTTGAGATTGCCTCACCATTTCTAACCCTGAGGCTTTTAGGTTAGCACTGGCCCGTTTCACAAATGGGGGGCTGGTGGTCTTCAACACGTCGGCGTGCACATCGGTTCAAAAACCAAGGAATGTCACAGATTCATGGCGGGTCGTTTTCAACTGTGGCTCTCGCCTTAGCGACGCGGACACTCGTTTCAAATATTTGCAAGAGGTTCACGGATTTTGGGCGGGTCGTTTGAACATGTGATTCTCGCCTTAGCGCCGCGCACATTCGTTTCAAACATTTGAAAAAAAACTTCACGGACTTAGGGCGGGTGGTTTTCAAAATGTGGCTCTCGCCTTAGCGCCGCGCACAGTCGTCCTAAGCATGTGCAAGAGCTTCACGAATAGAGGGTGGCTCTTTTTCAAAATGCGGCTCCCGACCAAGCACCGCGCACACTCGATTTAAACAGTTGCAAGGTTTCCCCGGATTCCCATGCTCAGCGTGTCAGACATGGTGTTCGGGAAGGGTTCAGGCTTGTCAGGGCGCAACAATTACGTTGATCTGCTGCGTTGGCGTCCCAGGAACGGGGTTCTGGCACGATTCAGGATCGCCAAGACGCAACAGTCATGTTGATTCGTGGCGTTGGAGTCCCGAGAACGAGGCAGATCCATCGGTAGACATGGACTCTTGTAGGGGCCCATGAAGAGGGAAGTGCCGACATCCTTGATGACTCTTGGGTTTACAGCGTCGCTCGTCCGACGGGGGCCTAGGCGGACATCGTGCTATTTTTCAACCCACAACTCGTTGAAGGTAAGAGTTGGAAAAAATATGCCTCTGAGGTCCTGTTCACCCTCCTCCTTCCCCTCCCCCTCCTCCTTCTCGTCCTCATCCTCCTCCTCCTCCTTATCCTCCTCCTCCTCCTCCTCCTCCTCCTCCTCCTCCTCCTCCTCCTCCTCCTCCTCCTCCTCCTCCTCCTCCTCCTCCCTCTCGTGGTGCATAAAGACCTTAAGTGTGGATCAGGGTGGACGCTGGCGTGCACTGTGCTGCGGGGGGTGATGACACTAGGAAGCGGTGCCCACTAACGGGGTTAAGGCGCCTCGCAACCATACCAACTCAAATCCTCCTCCTCCTCCTCGCCATCCTGTTCCTTCTCCTCCTCCTCCTCCTCCTCCTCCTCCGCCTCCTTCTCATCTTTCTCCTCGTCATCTGCTTGCAGCTGGGAGCAGAAGGAGGTAGGGGCAATGGCCCGGGAGGGGGGAAGGAGGACGGCACGGAAGGGCAGGGTCAAGCAGGAGGCAGGAGGCAGGAGGCAAGAGGAGAGGGCGATCGGGGGAGACGGACGGTGGCTGGAGGGGGGCGGCCTCTCGGGGAGCAGCCTCCTCCAACGGCCGTCCTTCTCCAGGCACCGTCCTGCGCCCCCCCTCCCCCCTTTTCCCTCCTGCCTCTACACTATCTCCGTTGTCTTCCTCATCCCCCTCCTCCTTCTCGTCCTCCTCCTCCTCCTCGTCCTCCGCCTCCTCCTCCTCCTCTTGTCCCTCTTCCCTGCACAAGACTCCTCCTCCTCCTCCTCCTCCTCCTCCTCCTCCTCCTCCTCCTCCTCCTCCCCTTCGCCGGTCGTCCCTATATACTTCATGCATCGCCTCCTCCTTCTCATCCTCCTGTTCCCCCTCCTCATCCTCCTCATCCTCCATCCCTTTCCTCTTCCAGCTCTTCCTCCTCCTCCTCCTCCTGCTCCACCTCCTCCTCCTCCTCCTTATCATCATCATCGTACTCCCCCTCCTCCTCCTCCTCCTCCTCCCCCTCCTCCTCCTCCTCCTCCTCCTCCTCCTCCTCCTCCACCTCCACCTCCTCTTTCTCCTCCACCTCCTCCTCCTCCTCCTCACACCGGGAAGCGCGTCCGTGGGGCGTCTCGCACCAAGCCCCCTGCATTTTTATGCTGCCGGAGCATCGGGTCCTCCAGACGCTGCACGGATTGAAGGCAGGTGGTTTTCATACGCCACGACATCCGCAGTTTAACATAGGACTGAGGGAGCGGGCGAAGACGACGACAGCAACAGCAACAGCAACATCAACAGCAACAACACCAGTATCAGCAACAGGAGCAGCAACAGCAGCAACAACACTCACATCAACAACCACAACAAAGCAACAATAACGACAGCAACGCCGGCAACAGCAGCAACAACAGCAACAACGACAACAACACCACCACCACCACCAACATCAACACTACCAGAAACACCACTACAACCACCACCACCACCAACAACAACAACCACAACAGTAGCAACAACATCGACAATCGAAACAAAAACAACAACACCGACAACACCAACACCAGCAACAAACACACCGAACACAACACCTCCAACCATAACAATACCACCACCAACAACAACCACAACAACAGCAACAACAACAACAACGACAACAACACCAACGACAGCAACAACGACAACGACAGCTTCAGCAACAACAATAACAATAATAACACCGCCACCACCACCACCACCACCACCACCACCACCAACAACAACAACAACAACAACAACAACAACAACAACAACAACAACAACTACAACTACAACTACAACTACAACTACAACTACAATAACAACAACAACAACACCAGCAACGGCAAGCGGCGGAGCAAGGGCGGACCATCGGCCTGGCAAGCGGCAGCGCTGATCGGCGGCAGCCCGACCCCAAAAGGGACGGACAGGAGACCGACCACGACGACGAGGACGACGACGACGACGAGGACGACGACGACGACGGCGGCGACGACGACGGCGACGACGAGCGAAAGCGAGAGCGAGAACGAGAGCGACAGCGGGGCCACGAAGGGCAGGACGGGGGCCCCGAAGGGCGACAGCGGGGCCACGAAGGGCATGCATATGGGGCCACGACGGGCGCGAACGAGCGGGGGCCACGAAGGGTATACGTATATTGGGCCGCAGAAGGCACGGACGGGGCCACTGAGGGCAGCAACGGGGCCACGAAGGGCAGCGAGGGGGCCACGAAGGGCGACAGCAGGGCAACGAAAGGCATGCATATGGCGCGAACGAGCGGGGGCCACGAAGGGCATACATAGATGGGGCCAAGAAGGGCATGCATATGGGGCCACGAAGGGCTGCAACGGGGCCACGAAGCGCAGCGAGGGGCCAAGAAGGGCTACAAAGAGGCCACGAAAGGCAGCGAGGGGGCCACGAAGGGCTGCAACAGGGCCACGAAGAGCAGCGAGGGGGGCACGAAGGGCTGCAACGGGACCACGCAAGGCAGCGAGGGGGCCACGCAGGGCTGCAACGGGGCCACGAAGGAAAGCGAGATCCCGATCCCTAAGTAAGCTGTGATGGAGTCTTAAGCGTGAGCGCGACTCCTGGGTGCCTGAGTGTCGGGAGCGCGGCGCTTGATTAAATTGCGGAAGTTCCAACGCAAGAGCGCGATTCTGGAGTAAAGTGGAAGCAAGTCTCCACCGCGAGCGCGATTCCATAGCGCCGAGATATCGATTCCTAAATAAATTATAAGGACGTCCCAAGCGAGAGCGCGATTTCTGAGCGAAATGCGAGGACATCTCACGCGGGTCCTGGCTTAAATAGGTGGAACCGTCGTTGTAATCCGGGGGCATGGGCGCAGTGTAAGCCTAATGCCTTTCCCTGCTGAAACCAAGGTGCGAGCCCCAGGGGAAGCACTTCAATTGAAACAAGAATGGTCACCAGAGGGGGAGGATCAACAATCATTAATCTACAAGAACTGAGACTTCAACACCAACAACAACCACAGCAGCAACGCCAACAACAACGGCGACCGAAGCAACAACAATAACCACAACAACAACACCAACCACAACCACAACCACAACGACAACGATAACGACAACAACAACAACAACAACAACAACAACAACAGCAACAACAACAACAACAACAACAACACCAACAACAACAACAACAACAACAACAACAACAACAGCAACAACAACAACAACAACAACAACAACAACACCAGCGACACAAACCGCAACGGTAACACCAACACCACCAACAACAAAACAACAAACAACAACGCCACAACCAACAACCAACACAACGACAACACCAACACCAACACCACCAACAACACCAACAACAACAATAACAACAACTTCAGCAACAACACCAACATAACCAGCAACAACAACGACAACACCAACATCAACAACAACAACAACATCAACAACAACATCAACAACAACCACAACACCAACAACAACTACATACACAACAACCACACCAACCGCAACAACACCAGCAGCACCAGCAATAACAATACCAACACCGACAACCGAAATTACAACACATAGAACAGCAGCAGCAGCAGCATCCAAAGTAGCAACAGCAACAACACAACCAATCATGTTACGACGGGTCGCTCTTATTTGCTCGCGCGTACCTCACCACGTATACCCCCCCCCCCGATACCCGCCCTATTCGTCTTCGATCGTACCCCCTCGGGGGGATACATCTTCCTGACCTGCCACATGGATCGGGCGCAGCCCCTAAAAGAGCAAGAGGAGTGAGAGAGGAAAGAGAGAACGAGAGAGAGAGAGAGAGAGACAGAGACAGCGAGCGAGCGACAGAAAGAGAGAGGGAGAGAGAGAGAGAGAGACAGAGAAAGGGAGAACACGCGATGACGAAAGCAATGGGGGAAGGGAGGGAGGCAAGGGACACGAGGGAGGGAGCAGAACTGCGGACGAGAGAAGCAGCAATGGGGCCACTGAAAGGCAGCAGCGGGG